CACACAAAACACCCACGCTACACAACACACACTCTACGCAACACCCTGTCTACGATCACCACATCTTACATGTGGACCTGCTGCAGCTGGTGAGTGTACCAGTCACCTCTCTCCTCTGTTTCCTCACCTTCTCCCTCCTCTGTTTCTGTCTCTCTCAGATGGCTCCCCACCGTTCTCGATCCGTCAACCCAGAGTGCACCACTCCGCAGGACGCCTTCCTCAGCAACATGCTGGACTTCGAGGAGTTTGTGCCCCCCGTCCCTCCCCCACCATACTACCCCCCAGAGTACACCTGCAGCTCCGAGACGGATGCCCAGAGGTGACTGACAGACAGAGCAGGTCAAGGGTTAGGGTTGGAGCTGGGGGCAGGGGAAGGGTTAGGATTAAAGCTGGGGGTAGGGTTAGAACTGGGGTTAGGATTAGCGTTAGAACTGGGGTTAGGATTAGCGTTAGAACTGGGGTAGGATGAGGGTGAGGGTGGGGTTGGGGTTGGGATTGGGACTAGCATTAGGGTTAGAGCTGGGGATAGAGATAGGGTTAGCGTCAGAGCTAGGGGTAGGGTTAGGGTTCAGGTTAGGATCAGAGCTGGGGTTTGAGGTGGGGTTGTTGGTGAGAACTGGGTTTAGGGTTAGAGTTAGGGTTCTAGATGGATGTAGGGCTGGGGCTTACGTAAATCAGGGATTAGGGACAGTGTGACCTGCTGCCATTTACTGACTGACCTCTCCTCCCACAGCATCACCTACAACGGCTCGATAGGGAGCCCCGTGCCCCTGTACCCCACCGACTTCCCTCCCCCGTACGAAGCGGTGATGGGGCAGCGTGCTGGCAGCCAGGTGGGACGCTGACCCTGCAGCTGTCTGTGTGTCTGTCCCCCCCTCTCTCCTCCAGTGTCTGCCTGTCTCCCTCTCTGTCCCAAGGGGAGCATGTCTCTGTGCCCGTCTGTGGTCTCTAACCCCCTCTGCTCTTGCCTAGGCCACAGTGTTCGATGCTCACGTCAATGAGCTGTCGTGTGACAGAGTCACGTCTACGGTCTTCAGCGGTGAAGGTGAGGTTCCCCCACCTCTTGTGAGAAACAGCGCCCCCCACAGGCCAGCCAGCAGACTGCGTATATACTGACACACTGACGTCCACTGAGATTCTGGGTTCTGTTGGGTTTATATAAGAAGAACAGGTTGATGATTAACACTGACACATACTGATTCACACTGGCACACAAACACACATACCGACACACTGAAACACACAGATCCACTGACACTGATCCACGGTGACACACACTGAGATCTTAGTGCCGGAGCTCAGTGCCTCTGTGTCCTGTCTCCTGTCGCTGTGTGCTTCCTCCCCCCCCAGTGTCCATGGACAGTGGCTCTCTGCTGATGTCCGAGATAGTGGACATCCCAGATGACAGCTCCCCCTCCGAGGACTCCTGTCTCCTGGAAGTGGGGGCGGGGGGTTCCATGCAATCTGTGGAGTTTGCCACATTCCGCCATCACCCCCAGGGACCCCCCGAGTCTGGCCCAGACGCCCCAGCCGGCCCGCGGGCCCCCCCCGCCACCCCCACAGCCCTTGGCCACCGGCACTACTTCAGAGCGGAGCGGTCCAACTCCTGCTCCTCCCCCAGCAGCTCCACTGATGCCCCCTACAGGTG